AACCCTAAACCCTAAACCTGCACCATAATTATCAGTATCCCAATCCCAAATACCTACTTATTAGGTACTCGAACAGGAACCTAAACCTTACATATGCCCATATACATACTTTTGATACTAAAAATCTTGCATGACCTCATTCTACTATAGTACCATTATTCCCAGGGTATAAGGTACTTAGGGTCATGCAGGATTTGTAGTATCCACCGTATAGATTTATGGTTTAGGGTTATACCTTTATACCACTATATTATGATGTTTGGGATTTGTTGCAAGGACGTCGAAGTTCAGATTCAGGGACGGGGTTTGGGATTCAGGGTAGGGTTTAGGGTCTAGGGTCTAGGGTCTAGGGTTTAGGGTTTAGGGTGGGTTTCAGACTAACCCAGAGTGCCCAAGAATTAGGACCCTTGGAAGGGAGCCATGGGGGCATCTAGGGAAATGTAGGGTTTATGGTCCAAGCACCCAATAATTAGGTGCTCGGGTTTGTGGTAATAGTAAGCATAGTCCTAAACATAGTCCACATTGACTTCGCCAAGATACTATCTTGGTTGAGGTCCTAGGGGCATTGAAGTAGGTTGAGAACACACCTTTCAACGCTTGAGCAGTATTGTTAATGGCAGCTTAGTCCCCAACGTAAGATTCTGTCCTCCTCTAGATCTGTATAGCATACTTAGTTCCATTTGGTTCAGCCACGAAGAAATGTGACTCCTATCAGGAGGTGAACCGCTGGAAGCTTTTGTAGAAATCCAAGGCGCCCAAAACCGTTTAACCACGGAACAAAATTGCTTGAGTGAAGATGTTTAAAAGCGTTTGAGGTATACCTAGAGTAGCCTCGGCCATCAAAATGTACAGATAACAAACTACTAGGTACGAAGCCATTTTCTAGAGGTACATTGGTTACTCTAGTATGATTCCTAGGCATTTCTTAATGTGAGGGTTTGAAAGTGATTGGACCCGGGAAGCGCTAGGTTTTCCATTGCTGATCATCACCGGCCTCGTTTCCGAGCTCCCCTCCTTTGGAGGATGGGTCAGCTGAGCCACGCAAGCAGTTTCGAGTTTAGGGCTTAGGGTTGTTGGATTACGCGGTTATTCCTCATGGGTTTTCCTAAACACCCTCACGATACTACCTCCCCTAAAGGTTTCCCTGAATTAACCTTGAATTAACCTTACATACGCCGAAGCAGTTTTGAAGGACGTGGCTAGGTAACCCACAACGTTTCCCCTAAACCCTAAGCCCAGATTTTTAGGGTTTAGGGTCTATAGAGTTTAGGGTTTCGGGCTTGGGGCTTGGTTCAGGGCTTCGAGCATCTACTTGCAGGGCCACGGCTAACTACAATCCAATAGTCGAGAATCAAACCGATGCCCAAATGCACAACTCAGCTGGCAGTGAGGTTTATGCAGATAGAAGGATTTAGTAGTTACAGCCTACTTTTAACAGTTACTTGTTGTCACATTAGAAGACGTATTGGGCTGCGAATTTGGTGGATGGAGGAAATCTTGCACCCCTTAGGAACCCAAAATACGCGAATTTTTGCGGGACAGGCTATATTAGGTGGTGCAAGATTTCCTCCATACGCAGTTGGGTTCTAAGTACAGTTTCAAGAAGAACCTTCAGGTGGAGAGTTATCATGTGGGTACCCTTCAAGGAGGCGTCTAATGTCCTCCATCCACAGTTGGGTTTAAGGTAAGGGAGGTACATATATATATATACACACATATAATATTTCGGCCTCGTATAGCCCCAATACTCTGAATGAGCCTTACACGAGTCTTACATCGGGGTATCTTCCTTAAGCACCAGTTAGATAAATGCTAGTATATAAGTAGAACTGTCAAAGCCCTAAGCACGAAATCTGAAACCATGGTCCCTGCACTGTAAGTCCGTACCCCAAGCCGTAACACAAACCAGACAAGACCCTGAGCTCTCAGGTCTCGATCTCTCAACCTCACTTCATCGATTTCTCATTCAGTAGGTAGTGCCCTAAACCCTTAAACTCTAAACCCTTATAAGGCCAGTGATGGGAGATTTTGTGGTCACTGCTTTAGGGATCCATCCCTCATTTCCCACAAAATAAGAACAAAGAAAAGGTAATCAGCATATAAGCCATGCATACTCAATAGTACTGTGGTCCTTATACGGTACTGTGAAACCCTAAACCCTAAACCCTAGGATTTAGGGTCCTATGTTCCAAGTTGGGCTCCAACTCTATGCATGGATATAAGCCCTCCAAAACGAAGCCTTAAATAACTCTAACGTCTGCATATCCGTATAGGAGCTGTAGTCAGAACTCCTTCAAGCGGGCTAAATAGGGGATTATGTAGGTGACTATTATGAGGCTTATTGAGGCGGATACTAGGAGTTTAGACTTCAGCTCATATGTCCGTACATACCCTACATACCCTAAGGGTCAAAGTACCCAATAATCATATACTTACCCCAAATCTGTACTATAATTCCTATTACCCACAGCCAAAATCCTTAATTATTGGGTACATGGACCCTTGGGGATACACCCTTTTGTGGTTTCAACTTGTTTGGGTCCTTGGCATGCGAGGCAAAGGTGTGCTTGCCATCGGCGCGGTCTGTGGCTTCGTGACCGTTCCTCGACACAGGTTCAGCAGGAAGGGATTAGGGTTTAGGGTTTAGGATCCTCGTCAGAGATTATTGGGAATATTCTAAGGAACCCACGTGTAGCAAGATCTACCAAGAATGACTGGAAGGATTTGTGCCCTTGAAAAATATGGTGATACCAAAAACATTTCATGCAAGGCCCTGTTTTAGGCATACCGTGGCTACTCTAGGTAGGGTCTATCACAAAAGTTCAAAGCGCATATTCTAAGTCTAGGTTCTTGGGAGCTTGAGGAATTGCGGAATGAAAGTTGCCGGACACACGCTCGACCCTTCACCTTAAAGCCCACACCCAAATACCCGGCGCTTTGTCGGAATTGAAAGATTGCATCCCCGCAGTAGCTTCCGTTCCGCCATTCCTTATTGAGCATCGTGGAGATTCTGGATTGAGGGTTTGAGGCGTCCGGGTCGAGGGCTCAGTGTGGAGATTATTGCAAATGCAAGGTGTACCTAGAGTAACCAAGGTAACCCTAAGATTTTGGTATCTCTACCTTTTTAAAAGGGTGAAATGGTGTAAATGTCACTGGAAGTATACGTTCATTCAAGGTAGGGTTTAGGGCTTAGGCTGGATGCTCAGGGCCGTCGCAAAGGACAGACCCTGCCAGAAACCCGAGTCGCTTCGTATAATCCTCTGAGATTCCTTTTTTTGGGCAAATCTCCCGCTCATAGAGTTTAGAGTCTTCGAAGCCAGGTTAGGGTCTCGAAAATGCCATTAACCCGAAACCCTATACCTGCCCTTGGTTAGCTAGGAATGAAGGAATGGATCCTCACCCTTAACCCTACATAACCCATTACAGCAGTTTCCATTCTGCTTTCTATTCTAAACCCTAAGCCATGAACCCTATGGCTGTTTCCATGTTCTTTTCCATTCCTTCATGCCCAGCCAACCCACCCTAAACCCTAAACCCTAAACCCTAACCCAAGGTTAGTATAAGGTCCTTGTGGGATGCTTCCATACTCTCCTCATAGTCCCCACATGTGTTACTCTCAAAAAATATGGACCCCATTTGGGTTTAGGGTTTAGGGTTTAGGGTTTGGGTATGAAGTAGATTACCGCCACTAATACGCAGGGCTTCCAAAATGGGACCCTAATTTGGGAACCCCCCTCCATATCCCAGTTAAGGGTTTAGGGCTTCGGTGCTAGGGTTCGGGGGTGCTTCAGGTGCTCCTACTGTGAGAAACACGGAGTGGTATAGTGCTACCATGTATCACTATACTTCCCCCATCTTAAACATCCGCAACTTAAAACAAGGGCTAGTTAAGGGTAATCTTCAGACTGGCAAAGCCATGGAGGAGGTGTCGCAAATAAATGTACCACTCCAGCCATCAAACACTTACCTATGGAGGAGGTGTCGCAAATGAATGTACCACTCTAGCCAACAAACACTTACCTAAACCCCAAAAGTATGTAAAATAATAGCCCTAAACCCATAATAACAGCCCTAAAGGCCATTATTTCACATACTTTGGGGGTCCAGGTAATCACGGGGTTTCTAGAGTTTAGCGTTATTCAGCCTTAAGCCGTTCGCCTCCAAGAAGCCTGCACCCTAATCTGCTATTCTCCACAGAAAGCTCCCAAGCCCCAACCCTAAACCCTAAACCCTAAATCCATCCATCCTAAAGCTTAAAGTTTCATCCTTTTCCTGGCGGGCAAGACAATCAATCCCTGTGGTGGAGACACAAAATCCTGCATGGCCCTACCTGGACCCTCCAATGCAGTTCCTTTTGGGGTTTGGTATGGTTTTCTCGTTAGGACTCTTATTTCGACTACCAACAAGGTGCCACATTGGAGGGTCTAGGTCAGCCCTGATTTCCTTGCGAAGTATGGTGTCATGCAGGACTATGAACCAGGACCCCCCTAAAACCCTTAATTGGGGTTCTATGGCCCCTAATAGTGGTTCTTAGGCCTACATCGAGGGTAGTTGCAGGAAGAGTCCAGGGACTCTATGGCCCACGTTTGAAAAGCCCACAGATGAGTGCCTATGAGCCCGTACCTTGAACCCTAAATCGCCTAAACCCTACACCATAAAAGTTTAGTGCGCTACATTGCCCCTATATAATCCATTATAGTAGCTTCCATCTCATTTTCCAGTATCCCAATAATATTACCCCAATATCACCCTACCAATATAAAGCGTAAACCGCCCACGTTTCAAAAGCCCTTGCAGATAAGCAGCTCAGGTGCTGCTCACTTGGTGGCTCGACGCAGAAGTTGAGGGTTAGGTTTTAAAGTTGATGTTTATAGGGCTTAGGATTCAGGGTTAGGGGTTCAAGGGGTTCTGGATTTCGGGTTTAGGGGTTCAGGGAGTTTAGGGTTTGGGGGGGGTGCAGGGTTTCCAGATTTAGGGGTTCAGGCAGTTTGGGGTGTGGGGGGTTCAGTGTTTCCAGATTTAGGGGTTTAGGAGTTCATTGTTTGGGAGGGTTGAGGGTTTCCAGATTTAGGGGTTTAGGGGTTCAGGGTTCGGGGGGTTTTAGGGTTTGGGCTGTTCAGGGCTTAAGGGCTTTAGGGCTTTATTGTTCTTAGTAATTAATGGGGGCTGCGGGAGAAGGCGGAGGGCGGGCGGCGGTCTGGGAACTTTTGCAGGGGGTCACCATGAAAAGGGTCATATATATGTATATATATATATATTGTTTATATATATATAGAGGAATCTACATAGTGGGGTCCCCTCATCTAGGGAAACTACC